TAGGACATTTTATTGTCAAAATGTTTTAAAAGTGTTTCTTTTCTCAGAGCTGATTTTTCTTTTTGAAAACTGCAATTTCAGATAAAACTTATTACTAGAAATATGACTTGTGATATCAGAAGAACAAACAGATGAAAATTGCAATTTTATACCAATTAGAAATGTTTCATCATTGGAAATATTATTTTAGATTAATAATATCAACTACAGACTGTTACACAAACAAACCTTTTGTTCAACCAACCCAATTAAGGTTATTGACGTTTTACTGACCTTATTAATCACATTTCACACGGTTGACTTCAAGAGATAAGGGCAAATTAGTTTCCTCTGATAAATAGCCCTATAGGTGACACACCTGTGTTGGCCTGAGATTCACCAGCTGACAATCTGGTAACTCAGTTCATGACAACATATACTAACTAGGACTGTCAATGTTATTTCTTTTTCAAAATTGCAGATTTGTAATATACCCTGTACAAGGAATATTTATAGGAATATGGAAATAGTTGTTATGAGCTCACCTGGCCCGTCCGTCAGTCGTCCGTCAACTTTTCATATAAACAACTTCTTCTGAAATACCGAAAGGTGTAGAGTTATCATATTTGGCTGGAAGGTTCCTCTGATGAAGCCCAACACAGTTTGCAAAAAGAAATGACCTTGACTCATATTCAAGGTCACAGAGGTCAAATGTGTTAAAACCTTTAAACGACTTCTTCCATAATACCGGAAGGCCTAGAATCATTATATTTGGCTACTATGTTCCTCTTATGGTTCATACAAAATTTGCTAAAAGAAATGACCTTGACCAATCTTCAAGGTCACAGGGGGTCAAATGTGTTAAGATGTTTAAACAATTTCTTATGAAATATAGAAAAGCCTAGAATCATTATATTTGGCCAGTGTGTTCCTTTTATGAAGTCCAAAAATGTTTGCAAAAAGAAATGACCTTGCCCCATAGTCAAGGTCACAGGGGTCAAATGTGTTAAATCTTTTAATTACATTTTCTGATGATCCAAAACATCTAGGATAGTGATATTATTCCAAAATAGGTTCTCAATGATGCCCAGTAATATTTGAGAACATAAATGACCTTGACCCATATTCAAGGTCACAACAGTCAAATGTGTTAAACCTTTGAACAACTTCTGATTAAGCTAAAGGCTTAGGATCATAATATTTGTCCAAAAGGTTCCCTTAATGGTGCCCACATAGTGTGTGAAAAAATAGCTTGACCCATAATGATATTTAAGGTCATTGGGGTTAGATTTGGTAAAATAGTTAATTAACTTCTTCTAATTAACCAAAAACCCATCATATTTGGCCATTAAAGGCTCATAGAAAAATGACTTATTTTGGACTACAAAAGGACAGAACCCATATGGAATAATTGGTCATATTGCTTTAAGCATCTACTGTGGAACATATGCACAGATATTGTACAGTTGGTCATAAAGATCCAGGTGAGTGATACAGGCCCTCTGGTCCTCTTGTTTATTGTTGAATGGATCAGCAGTATCGCTGGTTCAAGTCAGTGTGCTGTGAACAGTCTATAGTTCAGTCCGTGAATTGTGAACAGTCTCTAATTCAGTCTGTGAGATGTGAACAGTTTATAGTTCAGTTCATAATTTCAGCATTGTGAACAGTCTTTAGTTCAGTTGATGAGTTACGAATAGCCTGTGTTTCAGTCCATGCATTGTAAACAGTCTATGTTTCAGTTCATGCATTGTGAACAGTCCGTGTTTCTGTCCATGCATTGTGAACAGTCTGTGTTTCAGTCAGTGCATTGTGAACAGCCTGTGTTTCAGTCTGTGCATTGTGAACAGTCTGTGAGTGTTTGTTTTTGCCACCTGGGGGTGTGTCGTTGGTACCTGTCTCTTTTCCTCCACTGAAAATTGAGTGTCTGTATGAAAGTATGTCTGTGATTCTGAGAGATCTGATCTTAATGATGGAGGCTTCATCAGATCTCGGCACTCCTGTCTTTATCACGGTGAAATGTGTCAATATTATTCGCAGTCAGTTAGACCATCCTTCAATCCCAAGCTTAAATCAAAATTACTGTTTATAAAATCTACTATTAGCATGAACAAATGATGTATTGAATTTCAATTGTACTTTTGATATTACTGGGTTCCGTCTTGTTCTCAGAGCTTGTGACTGGGTATATATCTATTAGCCTATGTACATTTTGTACATGTACAGATTACAACCCAATGTATTTAAGTATACCATATTTGTAGTAAAAGTCTCAGCAGGGTTATCTAGTGTTACAAAGAATTCTCCAGAAAATGTGATCCAGCCACCAATTTGTTGTATGACCAGTGTTAATTAGCCCTAACCTACCAGAAGGGTCCTCAGACCTCTGAGGAGCACAGACAGACAACAATGGCTGTAACGATCAACCAAGAACACCAACTGGAACCTCTAATGGCTTATTGCGATATTTTGAGGAGAGTTCTGGTCTCCTGGTTTTTATCTGCTTACCAACACAATTTGGCACAGTTTTCAAGATAAGTCATATCATCAGATTTTTGGGAAACTTCCTCAGAGGTAATTCTTACAAGTATTTGTGTTTAAGATGTATGGAACGATTGTGTGACTAGAGGCAGATTCTGAGGAGAAACTTCATTTTAAACAGGAAATGATGTTTTTTCAACAGAAACATGTAGCGTTGAAAAGTGATTTGTTTTCAAATTGAAAGATTTTGTGTTTTTCCATCAGAACATCATAAATCTCCGGGCTATAAGACGTTGATGGTGCTCACATCCTTGATTGACCATGTATGAGTAAGAAGTGTGTGCTGAAGCAAAACAGCCTAATTAAACTTCCAGTAATGGGGAAGTTTCCTTTTGAAAAGTTGCAATACAACAGTGATTTGAAAATATTGAAAATGAAGTGAATTTAACAGTGCATTCATAACCCCTGTGATTAGGTATCAATCTTCTCTGTCATTTAACAGCATCAAAGTAGTAATTTAAAAAAATATTTCATCCAAGATGGAAATAGTTCTGGATGGGAAATCACTGCTTGAATTTTACAAAACAGACTTGATACTGTGAATTTGTCTCTACCTCATATCATTTTTAGTCATTATGTAAAGCTTTATATTCACACTAATTTTTGTCACCATGACAACACAAATTGTCTGAAAATATGATCACAAAAATAATAAAGTACCTGTAAATTCATGTTGTGGGATATTGTTACTGGAACCTTGGAGCAAATAAACGCTTAAGCAGTTTAGATTAAGTAGTCAGGGAGATCTGAAAGTAGACTGAGGACAGGTGACTAACAATTAGTCAGGGAGATCTGGATGTAGACTGAGGACAGGTGACTAACAATTAGTCAGGGAGATCTGGATGTAGACTGAGGACAGGTGACTAACCATTAGTCAGGGAGATCTGGATGTAGACTGAGGACAGGTGGTGACAAACAATTAGTCAGGGAGATCTGGATGTAGACTGAGGACAGGTGACTAACAATTAGTCAGGGAGATCTGGATGTAGACTGAGGACAGGTGACTAACAATTAGTCAGGGAGATCTGGATGTGGACTGAGGACAAGTGACTAACAATTAGTCAGGGAGATCTGGATGTAGACTGAAGACAGGTGACTAACAATTAGTCAGGGAGATCTGGATGTAGACTGAGGACAGGTGACTAACAATTAGTCCTGGAGATCTGGATGTAGATTGAGGACAGGTGACTAACAATTAGTCAGGGAGATCTGGATGTGGACTGAGGACAGGTGACTAACAATTAGTCAGGGAGATCTGGATGTGGACTGAGGACAGGTGACTAACAATTAGTCAGGGAGATCTGGATGTAGACTGAGGACAGGTGACTAACAATTAGTCAGGGAGATCTGGATGTAGACTGAGGACAGGTGACTGAAAGGCAATTTAAAGAAATTCTTCCTTATTGAACTTTGCTTTTGAAATAAACAACATGATGTTGCTATCAAATGACTCAGCCTTTTCGTTTAGCCACTGATATGGCTTTAGCCTTTTAATCTTGTATTCATTGGAAAGTGAACTCTCCTGGGATATCCCTTCTTGTAGTAAATGACTTTATATTGATGTTTTAATAGTTTTGTTTGTGTTTCTGGATTTTGTATCTTATTTTCTCCTCTTATCAACCTTAGTTGTAAACCCAATTCGTCCCTAGCATATCTTAATCTTTTTTTATTTTGACAAAATTTCTTATAATTAATGAATCTTAATGAAAACCATTCTGAAGAAAATGGGAAGTCAGAAGGAAGGCAAAAATATGAGGACATGCAGCTGTGACAAGGTTAGCAAGCATTGACTGTTGAAGGAAACTAATGGAAACAACCTTCGTGCTTGACAGGCAAGAATACTGAATCAAGGTCAATTAGGAGATTTAAATTAGTATTACAAAATTAGATTTGACATGGTTTGTTTGTGGTTTTTAACAGCAGAACAGCTATGGAGAAAATCAATGGAGTTTTGGTTGACTTTTAAATGTATAATTGATTGCTTATTATTTTTATTTCTGTTACGTTTTTAGCAAAAATTACAACTGATATCATGTGTTGTTCTGTTCGTTGGTAAATGAGTTTAGACCCTGTACCGATGAAGTGATGCCAGAATGATTAAGTATAATCGAAACTTAAACCACTCATTGGATTTACTTTTTTCACTATCTCCCTCTTTACCCACAACAGATATCAAGGTCTCTTTTCCCTACTTAGGAAAATGGGAAATTTACAAACAGTCTTGTTTTATAACATATATCATGGTTGCTCAAGAGACCCAGAATGGATATCATTACGTCTAGGCTGCCTGTAGTTCATTACCTTACTTATTTAATTGTAGCATTGTTTAGGCATTTAGGCTTCAGACTGTAACAATGTTTTACTAGTAAACAGAATAGAAAGTTTTACATGAAATCTAATGGCAGAATGATGAGGTTATACTTCCTCGCTTATAATCAGTTAGATACTTTGCGTGAGATTTTTGTTTATTTTTTCTCGTTCAGTCACCCCATCAACTGCTGGTGGCTTCCACTGCGAACAAGATATGGAAGGCATGTTGCTTGCCATTCAGAGTAATTGGAGTAAAATGTCGTAATTGCCTAACCACTGCAGAATGGTTGGTTTCTCATACTTAATGAGGAAGACAAACCACATGTAATAGAGCTTGTTGAACAGCATAGGTAGGGTGTGCACCTCATGTTGCAGACACTTACTTGTAGCAGGGAGAATGATTCAGTGATTTAATAAGAAAAGTCCCATAATGTAGGATAATTCCTTAAGCACCGTTTAGTGATGCTGAAGTTTATTATGGTATAAATAGGACAGGAGAAACCAACAACTCCAATTTCTCAGCCCCGTTTCTCTGATTAAAGAAATTGGGTGAATGGGCCAAAAACATGGTAAAATTCCAACAATTGTCTTCTTCTGTCTTAGATATGCTTGAAACAAAATCTTTCACTCTTTGATTTTGTAACAGATTCCAGCTATTATATAAAGACATGATCTAATAGCATTTCATGTGTAATTCAGAGTTGCTATACTGATTACTTTCAGTACTAGGTTTCTGGCTTTGTTAATTGCATAAGGGTTTTCATGTCATCCAACAGTAGTAGAAATAACATCTGGACTGTTAAGGCTCAATGGACCTGCTGTTGACTGTAGAGTCACAACACTTGATGGACCTGGTGTTGACTGTACCGTCACAACACTTGATGGACCTGCTGTTGACTGTACCGTCACAAGACTTGATGGACCTGCTGTTGACTGTACCGTCACAAGACTTGATGGACCTGCTGTTGACTGTATCATCACAAGACTTGATGGACCTGCTGTTGACTGTAACGTCACAATACTTGATGGACCTGCTGTTGACTGTACCGTCACAAGACTTGATGGACCTGCTGTTGACTGTACCGTCACAAGACTTGGACTTGTACTCTCGAGGAGATTTCTAGACTCTATGTTTATATAGTGTTTGTATTGTTGTATTGGTGTAACAGCAAGGCTAACCTGTTCTTTATGTTTTTCTGTAATAAAAAAAGAAAATAGGAAAACATAACTTATTAATGTTTCATGGATTGATGATGAAGTGCTGCAATCAATTCCCCAATGGCAGTAGTTGTGGCGGCTACTATAAACAATTCAACTTACATTAACATCAAATGAACACACATTGTCAGTAGATAATAAATAATTTATCTTTTTACAACAACATTAGGGTAAACTACAATAATCAGGCTTTACTATAGGTGAAGCAATCTTGAAACCTATTTTCTTGATTGTGTATTAGATCTTTGCTGAAACTGAAACATCTCATTCTTTATATCACTCAGCAGGGTTTTCCCTATGTTTGCAGGGATTTGAAGGGTACATGAGTGTAGAGTTAGACAGTGACCAAATGGCTGACCTGTACCACAAGCTTCCATCTTTGACTTTTGCAACAGCTGTCAACAATGTGTCAGGTGTCCTCAAACTAAAGGTAAGGAAGACAAGGAGGTGATTAAAGGTAAGGAAGACAGGGAAGTGATTAAAGGTAAGGAAGACAAGGAGGTGATTAAAGGTAAAGGTAAGAAAGACAAGGAGGTGATTAAAGGTAAGGAAGACAAGGAGGTGATTAAAGGTAAGGAAGACAAGGAGGTGATTAAAGATGAGGAAGACAAGGAGGTGATTAAAGGTAAGGAAGATAAGGAGGTGATTAAAGGTAAGGAAGACAAGGAGGTGATTAAAGGTAAGGAAGACAAGGAGGTGATTAAAGGTAAGGAAGACAAGGAGGTGATTAAAGGTAAGGAAGACAAGGAGGTGATTAAAGGTAAGGAAGACAAGGAGGTGATTAAAGGTAAGGAAGACAAGGAGGCGATTAAAGATGAGGAAGACAAGGAGGTGATTAAAGGTAAGGAAGACAAGGAGGTGATTAAAGGTAAGAAAGACAAGGAGGTGATTAAAGGTAAGGAAGACAAGGAGGCGATTAAAGGTAAGGAAGACAAGGAGGTGATTAAAGGTAAGGAAGACAAGGAGGGGATTAAAGGTAAGGAAGACAAGGAGGTGATTAAAGGTAAGGAAGACAAGGAGGTGATTAAAGGTAAGGAAGACAAGGAGGTGATTAAAGGTAAGGAAGACAAGGAGGTGATTAAAGGTAAGGAAGACAAGGAGGTGATTAAAGGTAAGGAAGACAAGGAGGTGATTAAAGGTAAGGAAGACAAGGAGGTGATTAAAGGTAAGGAAGACAAGGAGGTGATTAAAGGTAAGGAAGACAAGGAGGTGATTAAAGGTAAGGAAGACAAGGAGGTGATTAAAGGTAAGGAAGACAAGGAGGTGATTAAAGGTAAGGAAGACAAGGAGGTGATTACAGGTAAAAGTAAGGATGAGACTTAGGGTTTTATCTGTCCTGCTTAAGATAAATGAAAGTAAGGCTTTTGTGAGGCATTCATCGTCCAATCTTGTTTTCCATCTGATTCCAACTTATGTTCTTCTAAAAACTTCTTCTCACAAACCAAATGTTCTGGAATCATGATATATTGCTACAGTATCATGGTACCTGTAGGATATTCTTGACCCTCTCTCTAGGTAGCAACAGCAAACATATCAAAATTCTTCACTATTACACGTCACAAACCAGATTATAATTTTTGCACATATGAACACAGAAACATCTTCTTTTGCTTCAAGAAGGACTCCTGCTTATATAACAAATATTTCTTAATGGACTAAGTTCATGTACAGGAACACTTGAATAACAGAAACACTTCCCTACATGCCTGTCTTCAACAATCATGTCTATCTATACAGTAAAGAAATTTTTTCATAACTAAAATGTTTGTCTTCGGAAGTTTAAAATACAGCCGCCCAACAATGACACCTTTTCTTTGTAAAATGTTTTGTGATGTTACTTATTTCAATTTTAGAAGAACAAAATTGCACTTTTACAGTATGTTTTATGATGACTTTTGAGAGCCTGCACAAATTGGTTTTATTGTCGACAGTGACGCCCATTAAAACAGATCACTGCCACACCAGTAATCCACTAGAATTGCACTTCCAATCCAGTGCCAAACTTTCATGTCCATAAGTCTTTTTGATTAAAAGACCAGGGCTTTTAGAATTATTTTTCTTTAGCCTGAAATTAGTGGAGTCCAGTGCAGCAGAATTGATTGTGAGTTGTCTGTGTGATAAACTTCAGTGACATATCATTTATAATTGAGCATTGCAAACTATTTAATTTTTTTTTAAATTTCATATTGTACCAGGAGCCAATATTTCATACTTTATGCAGTTACCATAAAGCCAGCTTTGTAGATAATGTTTTTGTGAAATCAGCACATATCTTTTTTGTACCTGTAAATAATGACAAGCTTGAAAATTTAAGTTTTATCAGGAAATTAATCTAGCTAGTGATTGTAAAGGAAAGAAGATAATACAAGAATCTAGATGTAAAATCCCTTGCTACACTTTAGTTCAGTTTGCTCTTTATGCCATTTTATAAACTTCAATAACTCAAGTTTTTAAGCCCATCAAATATAGATGGCAGGCTGTTCAAATTGTCCAGCATTTCTGGTCAGTCTTGCATATTGTCCATCGTTAAACTCTTCTCGTTGTCACAATTTCTTGAGAAGTAATTGATGGATCATTCTCTTATTTCATATGAAGGTTTCCCTTGTTACCTTGTTTTTGCTCTTTTGCTTTTTGACTAATCAGAAAACAAAATGGCTGCCAGACAGCCATCTTTGATTTTGAAAATGAAAAGTTGTTAAAATTTAGGACTGATCATAAAAACAAAATTGCTGATATGCAACCATCTTGATTCAACAGTTTAACATGATTACTGCTCCAGGTATTTCTTCAGAGGAATGCATTAAAAGTCAAAGGAAAGAAGAAAAAAGCAATTGAAGAAAAAAAATGATGGATGCCAAGATCCCTCTGGGATCTAATAATTTGCTCTTTGACACAAATTTCAAGTCTGTGGTAACTCAACTCGAGTATTTTGGATAAAGTGATAAAAATACATCCATTAGTAATAACTATAGAGGGAAAAACTCAGAAATATGTTTTACATTTTACATTGGATGGTGGAATAGATTTTCGATTGGACAGAAGGACTAATGGGTTTAAATGAAAATGGTTGAAAAGTGATGTGTGGGATCTTTTTTTCTGTTCCATGAGTGGGCTTTGGGATTTTAAGTGTTTAGGTAAGTGTTTAAGGCTAGATAATTGTTTTGTAGACATTTTATTGAAATTGAAGTCATTTGATACCAGGGAAGGAGCATTTTTTTTTTTGTGAAGTTGAGGGGATGGAGTTAGGTTTTAGATTTTATTTGTTTTTCATTGGTCAACACTTTTGATGAGCGATGGTGTAGGAAAAGAGAGCACGTCTATGCATTCAAACAATTACAATGAAGCGTCTTTCTGCTCCGATTGCTAATGTAATTGGATAACATTTTGCTTTCCTTATTCTAGACATTTCGTAATTCTGTCCAGACATTAATTTAGATAATTCAGGGAACAGTTGCTTTATTCGTTTAATGTCAGTCAATATCCAAACTATTTCTGTTAGATTGTGTACTTTCTCATTGAACTGTTTCCCTTGGCCTATGATGGGCTTGGGAATTAATTTGTTGGTGTGTCCAAACACCTTGGGGAATTAATTTTCACCATTGACTGGTGATTTTCTGAAACAAATACACTAATTAAAGCACCACCAAAGAATTCATTCATGTGCATGCACCATTTAAGGGTCAAGGTCACCATTATGATAATTATCAATCCATTCACTGACATAGCTAACAACTCTGTTTCTTTAGTGTTATCTCTCTGCAAAGGTCAAAAGAATACCTCAAATTGGTGGGTTTTTTCCAAGGTCAAGGACATTGTTACTATTTATAGAAAATTACCAACCAATTTGTTAAGATCATTTAAGTAACTATAATTCTGAGGGTTTTTGATCAAACCTTAATATGGGAATACTTTCAATTAATTTCTGTGTCTGGGTTTTAAGGTTAAGGTTACTGTTTTTATTTATAGAATTGTCAAACACTTACAGACATTTACTAGTTTATGTAATCATTTTAAATTCTGAAACTCAACCGTCATGATTTGGATTACATTCGTTGGAGATTTTGTACATTTCAATCTCACTACATACTCTGTGGTTGATAGACTGCAGAGTCATTCAGTAATATATATACACTTCAACACTATAACAAAATGTGTGTTACAGTAAACATTGAATCAGACAGTTTGTAAGCAATTTCGTTGAGTAAATTCTGGTAAAATATTGATAGAAATTGAAACATTCTGTTTAAATTTTTACCACAGTTAATTTGAGGATGCAAATATTTTTGTTTGTTTGATTTTTATCATTCAACTTGATGGAAGCAATCTTCTTCTTCCAACGCTGTTGGCCATGTTTCTGATCGAATATGAACCAGTCAGAATCAGTGCCATGAACCAATGAAACAATGCAGTCAGTCCATCCAAACACAGTGAACACAGTGTAGCACCATCTAGAGGTGGTGAGTACTGCGGGTAAATCAACAACTCTAAAGCATGATAAACAGTCTAAACACGGTCAATACATACCATTAACACTTAACATGCAATTATCCAGAGCTGATGAGCACTGCTCTTAAAACTAGAATAATTGATTATTTGGCCCCTTATGAAAAAATACTTTCATTTTGTCAAGAAGTCTCCATTTCTTATTCAAGATTTAATTTCACCATGATGACTTTTGAAATTTATTTTTGCTCTGTTTTTAGCAATTTTTGTCAGAATTTCAAGAGCACAGTGTCCCTGTTTTTTTCCTGTTTTTTCCAGACAAACAAATAACTCCCCTTATAACTACAGCTTCTGCTTAAGATTTCAGCTAATGTATGTAGACAGGCTCGCAGTGAAGTCCAGGATACTTAATTTCAAGTGTCCTTAATACAATGTTGATGGTATGAAAGAATTTATGAAAAAATGAATCATATGATTAAAGAGATGAAAGAAGATTGAATTAGCCCATGGGATTATAACTAGAGTGGTTTTCTGTGCAGTAGGAGTCACTTAGTCTCATATATATAATAAATCTAGCTCTACACACGCAACTTCATTCCTAATGGAATGTCTCTTTACACTTCTGGTTCAAGTGAAGAAGAAATAAGGTGAAAAAGCAGGTGAAGTTCTGATTGAATGCTCCGTCTAGTGAGTACGTGTAATGGGTACTAAATCATTTCATTTCAACTTTTTAGATCCTGATGGTTTTTTAGATTTTCATTCAGGAAGAAACGTTTAGCGGTATATTGGTTAGCAGTTATGTTGAGAGGAGAGGCCTGGAAACTATTGAAAGTGACATGAAACATTCTACAGAGCTAGACTCCACAAAGTCATCCATCAGTCACACCACAGTATAAAACCCTTACGTGATCTGTTGATTTTGTTAAAAATATATAATTAAGGGTAAACTCGGTAACTTTGCTCGGTAATTACTACCTGTGATTCCCTTTTACAAGTAACATGTCCTCTTGGCAGGGCATGGTTTGGAATCTTGGTCACAGAGAAGTTTGTCTTCAGGATGAAGATTGCAAGAGTTTTTGTGATCAAAGAAGGAAACAGTGCACTTAATGTCAACCATCGATGAACTAATTTTAGTGCCTTTAAAAGGTGTATTTTTCTCTTCCTGTTTTATGTTTGGTGTAAAAATGTATCTTAATGTGTCATGGTACCGATAATTATTTATTGAATGATGACAAAAAAAAATAATAAAAACAAAATGTTTTATACCCAGGAGCTGTCCAGTAGCAGCTTGGACCTAGTTGGAGGAAAACTTCAGCAACGTGTTCATCTCATGTCTATGATGCTGGCAATCCAAGGTCAGTTATTTTTATTTAAGTATATAAAATTTGATAGACAATTTATCTGAGTTTTTGTGAAATTGATGACTGTCCATAATACTTACTTACAAAATATTTAAATTACCACAGAAAACTTGGCCATTAGCCATTAAGCAAAATTTACCAGCATGATAAAGTTTCACAGATCTGTGTACACTACAACATACAAAGTGGAAGTGCAGATCACCTCTGGGAAAATACTTGAGTTATATTGGGTGTTTAACCCAATCAATTCCCTTGCCAGATAATTATCACAGCTACAATATATGAAGTCAGATGATGTTGGGGTGGGTAAAACAACACTTTATATATAACAGCTTTTACCAAATTTATTATTCAGTGGCATTAAAGGTGACACTGTGAATAGGAGCTAAAATCATCAAACTGTCAGAAAAAAATATAACTGTATACCATCTGTCTTCAGGGAGAAAGTGACTGACATTGTCAGCTTGATTACAAGATATAACATTTGTTGCTTATTAGCAGTGCATTTAAGGAAATTATTCTTATCAAATTTAGGCTCCTCCACCCCTACCCCCACCCCCCATTTTTTTTTTTTTTTTTTTTTTATTTCACTTCATTTGTTCATCTGTTCATCCATCTTTCCTCTTCCTTGCCTGGAACATTTAACTTCAAGAAAGGATCATGAAACATGGGGTGTAAATCAGTTACACTACTAAAGTGATGTGCAGTGTACTCAGATCAAGCCCCACAACCCCTAATATATAGTGTTAATGGCGTTTGTTAAAATTCTGTTTCCATAGCATAACTTTGCTTGCATTTAAGCATTTAAACTAGAAAAATGAGATTTTGGAGTATAAATATTACTTATTTTTGGGAACCATTCATCAGTTCCTTTAATACTGTTGTTTCATCCATTAAGGCACCATTGTTACAGGACTCTTGTGTCATAAGTTCAACGCCTACATTGGACAGTCGCCAGGTACTGACCTCAGGTCTGTGGTTTTTCTCTGGCTTTCCTCCACCAACCAAAACTGGCACATCCTTAAATAACCCTGGCTGCTAATAAGATGTAAAACAACAATAAAACAAACTGTTGTATGGTAAACTGAAGTGTTGGTGCCTGATTGTACGTGGTATACTGCAGGTTTTACTATTTTGCAGGTTTTACTATTTTGCATGAGAAGAAAATTATAACAGTTGAGATTTTTTCACAGAAATGGACTCATTGAGAGAGAGGGTATCAGCACAACATAAAAGGAACAAGTTCTGGAGAAAGATGCGAGAGAGAGTACATTCTAAACTTAACCAAGAGGCAGAAAAATATGGAGACATTTTGATAATGAACATCACAGATGTGTACAGAAATCTACCAACTAAACTTTTAATGTTTCACAACTGGTAAATATTTTTCATATATCATATTTATCCAACAGTATTAACATTTGCACAGCAATGTCACAATATACACTTACTGGAAAGATGCGTGGTGTAAGAGACAATCATAATCATTATGGCGTCACTAATAATTAATGTGGACATAGAAACAGCAATGGTTCATTGTCAAAATGGCTGCTGCATTTGCTTGACTGAACAGTGGATAATGAATTGCAGCATAAGAAAACAAATTGGTAAGGAACATAAATACTTGTATGAGCATTGAACTGTCGTACTGTGGTAATGATGATTTCAAATGAGGCTAGCATGCAATATAATGTTTGCCTGTAAAGATCTGTCATTTATAACAGCAATAAATGCCACAACATGAAGTACAATGCTTAAATAAGCATATGCCAGTAATAAGCCCACCCATACCTTACTGACAGTAATATAGTATTTACAGTTATGTATTTGTTGTTGATTCCAGGCTTTACAACCACATCAACGCCAGCAATGTTTTGAAGACAGATGATGATTGTTTTGTCAATATTGGGAGTGTGATGTCAGCTCTTGATGAGATAGACAAAAGGGACAGAGATATGTGGTGGGGCAGGTACATCTGATACTCCAACTGTCATAACCACTCTAGTGTTTGCTCAAAGCTTAATTCATAGTAGTTAAATAATTACATTTGAGACACAGGTAGATCAACAACACATTGCAATCAAACCTGCCTGTTAATGCCAATCAAGGAACAGGAAAGTGGTCTTTATACTAATTCTAACAGAAAAAAGGAAACTGTGTATACTTAAAAAATTCTAGAAAAAAAAAATCAGAATATTTGAATCGCCGATAATTTCAAAAATCATATTTTGAGGTAATAATAGTTTGTTCGATCTGTAAAAACTTTCAACCTTGATTTTATTATGCTTTAGTGGTCAGTGCATACTTATTAGCTCACCTGGTCCAAAGTACAATGGTGAGCTTATGTTGTACTGTGGAGTCCATCTGTGGTCCATGCATTGTCCATCCATCATCTGTCAACCATTTCAACTCAAAATTGGTCGAGAAAAGCCCAGTAGTTTTTGACAAAGTTTGATCTGGAGCATCCTTGGGTTATTGGAATTCAATTTTTGTTATAAACAGTGGGTGTGGCCCTCTCGGGGCAGAGGGGCAGGGCCCAATAGGGGAAATAAAGATTAAACCTTTACCAATGGAAGGATTTCACCTAAATTTGGTCAGAATAAGGGCAGGAGGCTCTGTATTGTAAATACAATGGACACTGTTGTGGTGGATGTTGGACCAAATTGGGGAAATGAAGATAAAATCTAAAAAACTTTTTCCTCTTTGATACCAATAGAAGTACTTCAATTAAATTTGGTCTGAAGTATCCTTAGGGCTAGTGGAATCAATTTTGTATTAACCATGAGGGTGGGACTAAATAGGGAAAATAAAGCTTAAACCTTTAAATTATTTCTTCTTCTTTACAGGGGTAAAGATTTTAACCAAATTCAGTTTGCATTTTCCTTTGGGCATTGTTTGAGATTATTTCATTTCAAAGCAAGGCCAAGACTAAATTGTCTACCACTTCCTTAGATATGCTGACAGGAAGATATGATAGCATAGGGGGCATCTCCGATGCATTTCTAAAACATAAATGTTTTGTTTGTGATCTCTAAAGTAATTCTTCTTAACTTACATTGTCAGCTTTAAGTTTAATAGAATATGCTACCTATATGTATTTGAGGTTAATTTATCTCGGTTAAGGACGGACATTCTGTAGGGAAAATTTCATTCAAGATTAAGCTGACATTGAGATGTTACAATATGTCATCCAGAGACTGAGGTGCATATATGGATAATGGATTTTATATATGGTGCATGATTTTGTCAAAACTGCAAAGACCTGCATAAAGGTACCATACAGACTGGAGGAGATAGAAGATTCCAGTATTGTAATGACCACTAACAACTAGAATATGACAATTGATAACCATGCAGAAATGACCACAGATGACCATTACTTACCACATATGAAATTAGTAATAACCAATGCTGACTAGTGTTGACATAACTGACCCATGACAATATTTCATGGGGGAGCTTTTTGGAGCCAAATATTTCATAATATGGCCAAAATTCCCAAAATACATAGTTTACACCCTACTGATCAGCTTTCTCCCTAAAATGAGATAAAAAGGCCTTTATCCAAAGGTTAAAAAGAAGCCCTGCATGAAGGGAAAGAACTAAGAAATTACAAACAATAACTATTAATGACCAATGATGACCAATAGTGATAAAAAAATGACCAGTAATGACCAAAGATGACCAGTAGTCTCTTGACAATCTGTTCTTGGTTGTAGTTTCCGAGATCAGTGGTTGGTGGAGCAGTGGGGGAAGTGGTCAGAGCTGACATACACGGCAGATATTTACCCCAGGTTTGCCTGTGGTGTTGGAAACGTAGTATCCAGGGGCATACATACTTGGCTTAGTCAAAATGTCAATAATCTCAAAACTTACCAGGTAAATATTAAAGGGCTATATATTATTTTAACTAAGGACATATATCTATCATACACGTAATCTAGCTATTTCAATTTGAGTCTTCAAAGTGTATTACCTTTTGTAATTCATATAGCTTTGTACTGTAAACATTATTGATAAAATTTCCAGTATAGGGGAAGCTACTCCCATTCTTGTACCAATTCTGTTTTGGCAGGGAGAAGACATTTCAATGGGAATATGGATGTCAGCAGTACAACTGAGCTATATAAAGGTAGAAAACAACATCTTTAGTAGTCTTTTATCCCCTCTTACCCTTACACACTCTTATACAACACTCCATAGCCAACTAAATTGATTAAATTCCTTAGAAATGTTTTTTTACTGATAAATTTCCAATGCATAAGATCAGTCGATAATGTATATTCTATTAAAACATCATACCATTTAGCTGGTAATTTTCATGTTTTTTTGTTGTTTTTTTTTTTTTTTATAAATTTTCTTTTAGATAGATCAAGTTATATTTTAACAAATTTTGTAATCTGGATTTAAAAGGGCACTTAAGACACAGTCACAGTCACATGCCATTATTTCATAGATTATAGTTGGTGGACACATTTACATACCTGTAAATAGCAAAAATATCATCCCTGTGAAGATAATTAGCTATACAGTAGTCTTGCCTTAATGCCTTATTGAAACTCGCCTGCTTGCAAAATTCTGCAAATTGGGAAATGAGAAATAGAATATCATATCTTAGTGTGATTTTACATTACAGGATGATCGTTGGAAATGTGACAAGAACTGTTCTGCCAATTCCTTGGCCATACCTGAACTTTCTCCGCAGGAAGTAAAAAGTATGTGGACTTTCAAGAAAACATGTGGTGATCCCTGTGGATGTGGAGCTGGAGGGTAGACAACTGTGTTTCACAATGTAAAGCAGTGATTACATGACCTTGACATTCAGTCAGGTTCTCCCAAGACCAGGATTTTGTGATGTCCAGATTTGTCCAGGGACTAAGATTGGTAAATAATGTCTGATCTAGGGTACTAAATGCACATGGTATCAGGATGGAAAATGTACAAGGACACATAATATGGTCTGATCAAGGTTACTGAAGGCAAGCTGTATCAGGACAGAGAGAACTTCAAAACATGAATTTCTTTATTCTGAGTTTGTTCAATGCCTGCTTATGCTGTATGATGAAATATAAATGTTGCTGTTGATTTATAGAAGGAGATTGCTTCTTGGAGGTGTTCAACCATTAGCTATGATGGGTTAAGTTTTGTCATACCAAGTTCTTACCCGGTATGCATGTCTGACTTGAAACCCTTGTAAGAGCCTCAATATTAGGAGGTCTGGATGGTTATCATTGTAACCAAATGACTGGTAAGATGGTTTGGGTGTTTGTGACTAATTTGGACAAGAGGCCCCAAAGGCCTTGACTGTTTGTTACGTCAATACTGACCACTGATATCATCAACATCAACTAAAGAACAATCTTAACTATAATAAAATAATGAGTAAATATGTGGATTTTTTCTGTAATAAGGAACACATTTTAAACAGAATTATCATCTTGAGGATACTTGATATCCCTATACAGATGTAAGAAGTTTACGTAATATTTCAGTCTCTGTGACCTAGACAGTGACATGTATGACCACAAATTTCTCTAGAGATGTATAATTCCTTTGTCACGTCCTGTTTATCTTAATATCAGTTCCTGATACGTTTTCTATTCCTTTGTAGTTTCATAGAATTTGGTTCACAAATTACAAGGTTAGGAGCAGCAGCTTGGAAAAGACTTTGTTCAGTCATAGCTTTTCTTTTGGTTACCATGACAACCAAAGTTTTTGAAAATAGTACCAATGCCAACCCATAAACCAATTGTTAGCTTCATTTGGCAATACCTAAATTTTAACCAATCAAGATCTTCCATTATGTTTCCATAGAAACAATTCTAGAAACGGCTGCTGTGTCCAATAAGGCTTTGATAAGTGCCACAATTCAGCCAAGTTAAAATTGTTTCAATGGTTTGTGAGTGATGGGCCATTGCAAAAATACATATGTTTAGTGACCAAATCACCAAAATTTTGTAAAATCAAAGGCTAATATGACATATACTGACAGCAATACATCAGTGAAGTGGATACCAAGCAGCATTTTGTCTGTTTGTGAAAGAGAATTATTTAACATCATTTTATCAACACCAATCCTATCCTTAACCACTATCCTTTTTTTCTGTTAACAAAAGATCCCAGAGGGATCTAGGGTCCCACCATTATTCAAAAGTTGGATCTTTTCCCTTCTTTACTCTAACTTTAAACTGGCACAACTAGGAACCAAGGGGAACTACAAATGACATCCCAGTAAAATCTACCCTGTACTTCACAAGAAATAGTGATAACTTTCATAGTCATAATCAAAGATAGCCACCTGTCGTTTTTTTTTTTTTTTTTTTGTTTGTTTTTCTGAGCAGTCCTATTATCAAATGGACACCATTATGGACCAAGGGGGAAAATCTGTTAAAATTTGAGAAAGATCCAAGAAATAGTGATAACAAAAATTGTTTACAGAAGAATTGACCACAGATGTAGGGCAATTTGAAAAGACCAACATCATCAGATGTTAGGCTTAAATATATATATATCATGACCAATTAGGACCAATTCTTCTCAAATAGCTTAACCTCAGAACAGTTTTAGCTAGACGCATCTTGATATAAAACTTACACAAGAGTTACATCCCTTTGAATGAAGATCAAGTATGACAACTACATACTAAATATTAATGGTTACAAATGATTTTAAAGGTCAGATTCCAATTCTGATTTATATATATACCAGAATAACTTTCACCTAATTTCTTAAAAGACTGATCAGTACTGGTAGTAAGTCAATTGAAAAAGTTATACTTGTCTCCTTACAGTTAATACTACCGTAGCTGCATCACAACTTTTATATAATAATGTGTAGAAGGTAATTGCCATTTAAACACAAGACAGAGACACAACAAAGTGTATACTTATGACTTTATTAACGGCAGTGTTGCCAGCTTTAAGGTGCAAAAGATTTCAAACTGCATAGTAAACAATCATCTCCCAGTAAAATAGTACATCATTATAACCAACACAGGTATATCGACTAAAGAAAATAAACTCTGTAACTAAACAACAACAGCAAAACAAAAATAATAATGCTAAGACTCTAGTTATTCAGAAATAAATATAATTATTTGGTAAATTAACAGGCAAGATTGTAAAATTTGATAATGTTTGTTTGATTAGTAAATTTAAGAACAATCAGTGACAGAACGTGTAATTTTCTTATTTCCCACCTCTATATTACGTTTATGTTTGTTGTCATCAAATTACTGAATTACTGAGTATTTAGAAGACATTTCTCTAAGACTTTTGGTTACATAAATACACAATATGTATATATGTATCAGAAAGTAATGCAAAATATATATATTATTATCATGAAACTCAACATAGGACTATTGAAACAATTCAACCTTCCTCCAGGCAGCATCAAACTTGTATCTCAAGAGCAGCCTATCAAACAATAAATTAATAAAAAAAAAATGCCAAAGAAGTTTCAACAATATTAAATAACATTCTGCAACAGGCCCAGGTGACTACACAACTTATAAGGGATGGGATTAATTAATGATGATGAAACAGCATTTGTTCACACAACAGTGGGCTTATAAACAGTGTTTTAACACCCCCATGTTAGACTTGTCAACTGTTTCTCAAAACAATATTTACTAGAAAGTTTTTTAAATGTACTTTTATTGAAATTTCTTGTATCAGGCAGGTCGGATGGCACAGTGGATGTCTGGGGTGTGTCCGAGTATTCTGGTTAACTCCCACAGTAAACCTCATTTCCTGTTTCCAAACAATGCAACCAGAAAAAATGAATAGAAACTGATAGTTTCCTTCACAACTGTTGTAGCATAACTAAATATATTATCAAGCACATGCCTGGGCTTATTGCCAGTTAAATGCTATAAATAGCATTATTTAAGTAGAAACAGTACGGAAAGCTTACACAACAACAGTATTTAACTAATTAAAGAAAGCATGCCTTGTTAAGAGTGGTGCATCGTATCTGTATTAGTAACATGATTTTAGACAAGTCAGAAGAGAAAATAAATTTGATGGTAACAAATTTGACTTAGTATAAGGTACAAACCTATTTTCTTAACCCAGAAGAAATCGTTGCACAAGGCCATTTCTGGCTAAACAATTCTACTGATATGTTGGTAATGACTGATTCCGATTTACAGCTGTTTTGAACAGACAATACGCAATTATACTATCTTGCATGTCCACTAGATCAGCATGTGTGGGAGTAAATACACATACACAATGACATATTTTATACGAAACCAATGTAATAGGTCAGTTTATTGCTTAATTTAACTTTAATAGACATGACTTTTTTCTTACCATTTTCTTTTGTAAAGTCAGATATTGCAAGAAGTTTTCAAAGATATAATATTCGTCAATTTTGGCATCTCGTGAAAAATACTAGTTTATACATATCAGGGCTCTCACACCCCATTTTGGGACTGGGGCCCAGGACCCTTAGAATTGGGAAAAATAGCAGCGTTTTCCTTAGAATTGAGAAAACTTGGGGTCTAAATTGGGGAAAAAAGATACTATTTTGCATTGGGAATGGGTCCGAATATCGGCCCCAAATCTGGCAGATCGAGAGCCCTGCATGTGCAGGGATCTAAAACTGGACCCATTTCTAATGCAGAAAAACAAGTAACTTTTTAAAATGTAGTCATGTGAATTTTACCTTGACAATAAAATATAAATTAAAAGAACAAGCAAAGAATGTTTTTAACATTCTACAGTGATACATATCTGGTACATACATAGTTACATAATAGTCCTTTTCCAGATATATTACACATCAAATTATATTTTACCATTCTATTGTATGAAATATTAAAAATCTAATAATTTTTGTGCCGACATTAAGTTAAAAGACACATACAGATATATTAGTGCAGTGTATTGGTAATTTCTTGGCACGTTAACTTATAAGAAAAAGGTGAAGAACACTGACAATATTAATTTTGTATTATAGTTAGTACAAAGATCAGCACAAACATCAATGGAATAATGTTTCCAATGTAAAACACCAATATTCATTAAATATGGTTTTGTAAAAAATTGATATATGTACATCAAAGTTACAGTAATTATATGTTATAAAGCATGAAAACTTGAATGTGAGAAACATGATCATTCCATTTAAATATTTCTTTCTCCTTCACATACAAAACATCGGAGTGGTTACAGCCTTCAAACTTGGTAAGGTAAATGGACACACTATCGCATTTCCAGCTCTAGATGAAAAGAGAGATGATGAAATTTGTTAAAGACACTAATTCCGTTACAGAGCTTTACAGACTTTTTAACGGGAGACAGAGTGACTGGGTGTGATTAGGGTGGAGAAGTAGAAATAACATAAACAGAACTATTGTTCAATATCTCCCAGAAAATAATAACCAGTTGATGCATATTCATTGTATATCACACTATCCTTGTATAGATCTGGGAATGTTTCTGAAAATACATACAGATGACCCCACATCTGTTATGATGAAAATTGAGGTATATGTAAAATCCTGACCAAAGTTTGTCAATTTTTTTTATGATTATTTTCCATACTCACTTCCCCTCCTACCATCAATGTTTCAATGAAAACCATAGATGAAAAATCAGCATGTTTTAAACCCGCATTGACTGAACTGATTAACAAACTTAAGCACACATTGTAAGTGTGACTGACTGCTCGATTGGGTAAACGTAATTTCCACATGTAGCACATTAGCAGTTCATTGCAGAGATAAATCAATGCCCCATTAAAAGAGTACAAAAAACCAACGAAATATCATTATTTCAAATTACATAAAAAAAAGAAGTTGTATACTTAAAGTATATATTTAAAAAATATTCTCGTAATGTATGAAACTGATTTCTTTGATTAACCTCCCTACTGATTTTTGGTCAGTTGGTTATGATAGCACGCTGTCTTATTAATTACTACAACCAGACATGGTAGTAAACATGTGTAGATATTGGTGTAGGTTACTACACACAAGACAAAAGGTACAAAAATACCAGTAAAGTGTCTGCGTAGATCAAGAGAAAGATTTGACAGGACATGCCATTTTGAGCAATGATCAGAGCGAAAAAATCGTAGAAAATTCTTATAATGTAAGTTCTTAAATTGGGGTGAAATTACGGAAGAAAATGGATTTACAGTATTGTTGTGTAAGTGATGATAATCTTTTATATGAATATTCACAACCTATCAATACACAACATGACCATGTAAACATCCTCACAAACTACCCAAAAGTACAGGCATCAACCACATTCCTGTCACATCAAAATCTGAAAATGCCATCATGGTGAAGAAACAGGTTTATACAAGCTTCTGACAATGAATACCAAATCACCATTCCAAGATTTGTATCAAACTCCAATTATAAATGAACTCCATGTATTAAGTGTTAACTTATACACCAGTAGGACCTAATTATATAATATAATTAAATCCATTTATTGGTTTCAATGTATAGAGTGATTTCATATTATAGATTATATACAAGTAGATTAAATGACATGGAAAAATTTCCAGGAAGTGAAATGACAATGACAATATTTTTCTAATAAGGAAATTTACACTTAAATCTAAATGACTCTATTTATCAATAAATTATCAATAAAAAATTCTAATCTAGATTTAACTTTTAAAGATAAAGATATCCATCAAATATATTAAGGTTCAAACTATCAAACTTAAATCACAGTAACTGACTGCTGGCTTAAGAAGTCTGTTTTGTACTGTTTAAAGCTTTCTGAATGGATTTACAACTAGCTACATTTCCAATTAATCACATATTACAAATTTCACTGGGTTTATTCTATGGATGTAAAACCCTTTAATATATACCCTTCCTATCTACAAATATTACCCTAAAAATAATATTAACACACAAATACCATAATATACTAAAAGTACTAACCCTCATAAATAACACATCATGTCTCTTATTTCACAATGAACATCAAGACAGAACAAATTCCCCATGGTGCATATAAAAGTATTAACACATTTCTGCATAATTGTTTATCAAAGTAAACAAGAGATCCCAGAGATATCTTGGCACCCACCCAAAGTTACCCTCATCGGAGTCCGCCTCAACTGTCATGGATAAAAAAATTCTTCATTAAAACACTGGAAATTTACTTGTCTATTGGTTATCATGACTTTGTGGATCTTTTCCTCTATTGAAACATATTTGTCAAATTAGGTCTTTATTCAAACACAAATCATTTTCTATCACGATATTACTTTCGGGTCTATTAGCAAGAAAGTTTCTTTTGTTATATTCAAACAATTCAATAAAATAAGAGGCCTAGCAGCATTGATAGTTATCTGAGGTAAGCAATACTAGATATACAGCCTATAGGGTAAGTAGCTTCCAAGCACCAAAAAATGAAATTGTGACATTGATGACAGTAATACTTAAGTTGTATGTTCTAAGCCCTTGGCAGGTCAGTCATAGTCAAATACCATCCAAACTGTCATTCTATAGTAATAATTCTTACCAAGTTATTCCCAATAGAGAATAAACAAACATTATTCTCAAACATGCAATTTTCCTATAAAAAACATATGTAAAATTCACCAGCTCCTCAGGATGAAATGTGAGACCCTGGGGTTATGAAATCCACAATTTTCTTAAAATACCTTAAGACCCTCCAATCCTTATTCTATCATATCTGAGTGTTGGGAAGAAGATTTTAAAAATTTGAATCAATCTGACCCATTTGACCCCAACCCTCAGGCCCTTTGGGGTCCTCCAGGATCAATAAGTGCATACCATCAAGTCATCACTCTATGCTAATAATAGTTACACTCAATTAACTATAGTAAGCTTTATTCCCTCCCCATGGTCCCATGCAAGACCCTGGGGTCATATAAATTCACATGTTTGATAAAACACCTGAAGACCCTCCCACCTACAAACAGCACTTATTCTACCATATCTGGGTGTCGAGAAGAAGATTTTTGAAATTTGAGTAAATTTGACCCCGCCTCTCAGGCCCCTCGTGTGTGGGAACCATATAATTCCCTATTTGGTTTGTTTTTACCAGGGAAAGTTTCTATAAAATTTCACTGAAGTAAGTTCAGGGGTTTGTTGAGAAGTTGAACATGTTAAAAAGTTTACAGACATACTAATACACATGGACACAGCAACAAAAGGCGTTCAAAATAGGTCAACATGAGACTTTGTATCAGATGACCTAATAATTGATAAAATCAAAATTACCTCTAAATAATTTATGCATACCTCAAATAACAAGTTGTATACTTAATAAAAAAATCTACAAACAAGAAAACAACCCACATATATACATATACATACACAATGATTAGATTTGTTACACAAACAGTTAATAAAAATGCACAGCAATTCCTGGAAAGATGGCTACAATAAACACATACTGTGATAGTGACTACACTGACACCGAAGTAGATGTATATTAGCATAGTCCAGCAGTTTATGGCAAAAGCAAGCATTTAAGATATATCACTGAAGCATTACTGTGGAGGTCTGTTCTGAGATTATATCTCTATATACACATGGTGATATGTTGATATCAAAGTCACATATATTTATCTGACCCTAGCTGCACTAAGCTCGGTCAGAATTAACTTTGGAAGATTTGTGGGGACAGGTCAGATTTCTATTCTAGTAGCATGAGTTTTGAATTCTTCACTTACCACTTCTTAATTCTAACCAAGCTTTGAATGACTAGGACATAAAGTTTGCCAACTGACTTACTGTTTTTCATTAGAGAGAACAGGTATGTTGTATACTTTTCTCAAATCTATCTTGGTTATCAATTCAATGGCCTATATTCTAATTTACAACCAAGCAGTAAAACAATACTTAATTTGAAGGGACACAACTATTCTAAAGTACCCATCAATGTTAATCATTTGAGAAAACTTGCAAACATCAGGATATTGTACAGAAGATAATTCTAGTAATAATTTTATCATTGATATGCTTCCTCATAGTTAAAAAAAACAAACCTCTTCAGGTAATGAAAACAGGACCACATTTGCCTTGGTCTGTGTTAAAAACTTTGAATTACAAAAACTACACAGAATGTTAAACTTGCCATCAATCCCGAAATGCCAGTTTTTGTTCACATTTAAAAGAAAAAAAATCTTTCAGAAGTTAATAAAATTTATCGAAGACAAAGTAAAACATTGACATATAATTCATACAACATCATTTTCTTTCGCCTTCTGTTCCGCTCCATGCTGGCTGCTTGTTTTAGCTAGATTTACAACAGGTTTTTGAGCGTACATGACTGTGGCTACAGATACAATGAAAATAGCTATAAAAGTATAGATATCAATCCTGATACCAAATATCAGCCAACAGAGAACTGCTGTAAACATTAACTCCAGAGCACTCGCAAATGTTTTCAAAATGGAATTTAAGGAGCGTAAAAACAGACTAGTTACAATACCTATGGCAGCATTATTACACATGATCATGAGAACGCTGGGTTGAGTGAGGGTAGCTATACTCTTAAAAGTGAAGGCAGAGGTTAACTGGCCCTTGAAGGTCAACACTAGCATATTACACAGAATGGAGTCCAGATACATGAACACATTCTGTAACATTATGTGCACATCAACACCTTTGTCTTTGAGAAGAAATTCGTTGTAAACTCCGGCGAAACAGGATGAGACGATTTGTACCATGATGAGGAGCAGGCTTGGGTTGAGGTAGACTGACCAACTAGAAGCACCTGGCTCCACCTTTGTCTCGTGATCATGGCCATATTCCTTTACCACACACCCAACAGTCAGGAAAATCAGTGACAGCCACTGCATACGACTCAGCTGCTTGCTAAAGACAATCTAAAAAGTAGCAAAGCATATTTTTTATTTATTGGAAAGCATTCCCCATATTTCATATGACTATAGCAAAAACTTGTTTGAAGACAGCAGGTTGACTGCCAACAAAATGATCATTACTGAGTATCAACCAGCTATCTACAACAATATATCCAGCAGGGTGACTATAATGTCACAATGGTAATGATGTCTTGATCAGTGAGTCAAAGTTAAGCACACATTATCTTCAAACAAAGTCAAAATCACGGCTAAATTTAGCATCTATTTTAGGTAGTATTAGATGCCTAAAGGGACAATTTAGTCAAGTTAAACAAATTTATTTTCATGTCAAAAAAGTCTTTCATGGAGATATAGTACTGTACTCAATTATGAACTATGCATGTCCTTAATTAATGGTAATGAATTCTTAAAGATACAACCAAAATTTTATATGCAAATAGAAGGCCACTTTGACTTAACAGGCATGTGCAAACCTGTTTCGAGAATGCCAACCAAACCGGTTTTCATAACCAAGCGGTAATAAGTAAAAACAAGTAAAAGGATCTCACACCAAATGCAAACACAGTAAATGGATTGGAAAAAATCCTAGAATAACTGTTGGACAAGAATACAAGATATGGAAAGGATTGTATGCAACGTATTTAGGCAAATCATAACTAAGATTGATATCACTATGTCATCCCTCTGTTCCCCCATCAAATGGATCTGTTCACAAGCAAATATATTTCTGCCAGAGGACACGTCATTTCGTATTTTTATGACGATTCTTGCTATCTTTGGCACAGGCTACGAAGCAAATGACTTTTATATACAGTTTTGTTCGTCTGGATATTTATACTTTTTATTTATTTAAAAAAAACGATGGTTGACTAAATTGTCCCTTTAACTTCCGCAATGTAATTATGTGAAGATCAGTAAATTAATTAATATTGTGCATCTTGAATGCTTTTCATCTCCCAAGTTTGAAGAAGAACCCATACCTTTAACAAATCATTATGTTACTTACACTAACTACTTATGTCAACCTACCTGAAACACGACCCCTGTCACTACAACACGGAACTGTAGCAGCAGAAAGTAAGTTGTAGGGTCGTATGTAGCCAGATTAATGAATCCCAAGTTGTTGTAAAGGCAGTACAGAGCAGCAGGCACGAAGTAGTACAGTAACACTGAAATATATAAGTAGCAGTATTTTTTCTAGAATTATTAAAGTGAGTCCAAAACACAAATGCCAATATTTTGAAGTCCCAATGCTAAGAGATACAGTTAGATCTCAAAATTTTAGTGAGTTCCACAGGGAAAGTACAAGTCCAGAACTCAAATACCTGTGTGATATTTACAGTAATACTGAAATATATAAGTAGCAGTATTTTTTCTAGAATTTTTAAGGCGTGTTCAAAACACAAATGCCAATATTTTGAAGTCCCAATGCTAAGAGATACAGTTAGATCTCAAAATTTTAGTGAGTTCCACAGGGAAAGTACAAGTCCAGAACTCAAATACCTTTGTGATGTTTACAGTAATACTGAAATATACGATACACCACTGATATTCAAAATCTTGGTCAATTAGAAGAAATCATTGGAGAATTTTAACAAATTTGACCCTGGAGACCTTAAATATGGGTCAAGATCTCTTTTTTTTAACAAATTTGACTCCCATGACCTTGATTTAGTCATTTTTCCTAGAAACTTACCAGCCAAATATGATTCAAGACCTTCTCATTCATCATCAGAAGTCATTTGAAGTGATCAAGTCCTGTGACATTGACCATGGGTCAAAAGTTTTTTTTAATTTCTTTTTTGTTTTTGTAAACATTTTTTTTCTTTTTGTAAATTTTGTAAGAATTTATTGCAAGAATTTCCCAATCAAGTATAACTCTAGGCCTTTTTAATGGAGAAGAAGTCATTTAAAGGGAAAATCTGACGGTGACAGGAGCACACCATAACACTAGCTCACGTATATTCAGTTATAAGGAGACATAAGGTATACAAGTTACTGGTAGTACATACAGCAGTACTGAAACATATAACATACAGGTAGTAGTACATCACCAGTAATGATTTATACAGAGACATGGGCTTAACCAAATAATATCATCTTACACTACACTTTGGAAACACGATCCTGAAAGTTAACTATTCATATCTGAATGAAAGAAAAAAGCATTAAACATAGGAATGATTATTCTACTTAAATGTAAAGCCACCTAAATGATAGCTCATGTCCACAGAATTTGTACCTGAAATACTATGCAACAGATTTAGACATATGTTATTGTAACTCATTTCTACAGATACCAGTATATGTCTTTAGAGTTTTCTATTGGTAACAGCTGCACACAATTTTTTCTTTCTAACAAAGTAATTACCTTGTTTGTACTTGTGGATTTCTGAGAAAAATTGACCAACAGAATGGCTGAAATGTACAAGAAAACATCAAATCAATAATAGTAAAATTGCACTATTCACAAAATACATGTTTGTTACGGTTTGTTAACACAGGAAATATACATCATTCTGTATCAATGGTTAATCCTATTACAACAAGGCCAATGTACATTACATATGGTATGTCTTAATAAATATATTTCCAGGAAATGCTACAAATAAACCAGTTTCACTATCTCCGTCTGACTTTAAACAGGAAGTCTGGATTTGTTAATGTAATCAGGTTTTTAGTATAAAAACTTGGGTGTCACAGCAACAAAACTTTAAATGTTAGCTGAAACTGTTCTTAGTGGACAAAAAAAAGTGTTAGAAGTTTGTTTCCTTAATAAAATGTACTCAGGGTGTTCATGCTGTAGTTTATGTAGATATGTCAAATAGACATGTTCCTTCAAACTCAAGAATAAAAATTCATTTTTTTTTAAGAATTAAAAACAGTCTTTTGAGGGTCTACTGAATGTCCTGAATGCCATAACAATTGTGTTTTTATATTGACTTATCTGCGGTACTTCTAATACAAATAACAATGGATTTAAGATATGACCTTGATTTTGCAGAATGTATCTGAAAAAGGAGATTTCACAATACTTTTAACATACTTATATAAATTTATACCTTCAAACAATACTTAATACATCAAGTATCAAGCAATTATGTGCCCAAGCAAAGTGAGGGAGTTGGGGGGTTATATCGTTTTGTTTGGTTTCTTATCATTTACTTTCTTTCAAGGGCTAGTTTCCGACTTGTTTCTCAATAACTACTGGATGGAATTTAACAAAACTTTACATGAGTGATTATGTACGAGAGCTTTTCCATATTCCAACTGGTCATCTGACCGGTCAACCATGGCCTCTTACTGGTGAAAACTTGGCCAAAATTTAGACATCATCCCAATCCCATGAAAATTTGTATGTAGGTGTAGTTTCACTCCAGAAACACAATGGTGACATCCTTTTTCTGAATGACAAGATTGCTACCACATAGCCTTTTCTGATTGGTTGAAATTTAGACATCCAAATTTCAAAAAAATTAGTGTGCATAGTGTGCAGGTATTGACTGACATCAGGAACACAATTATAGAGTCCTTTTTTTTAACATAATGTCAGAATTGGATCAAAATCAGTGCATAGGTGTTGTCGAACAAAACAAACACAACAATGACGTTCTTTTTCTTACTGGACCAAATGACTGCTCTACAGTGACATCTAATGTGATGAAAATCAATTTTTATTGCATTACATATCAATCTTCATTATTCAATCTTTGATGGGAATATTTTTTCAGTTCCATGCTGGTATGAATACAACTACACAAATTCATGATATACTTGCATGAAACAAAAATATTCCTATCAAAGCTTCTAATTAATTTCTTATATTAGTTCCTAAAATAAGAATATCACATGAATGTATGAACTTGATCATTACATGAAGAATTAATTTATAAAAAAAACCACTACGCATAGAAGCTGGCATGACATGACATCATCGCCAGCTAATTTGCATAATTTTCAGTCATTCAAAATTCATTAATGAGTGGGTCTGTCACATTCCAAATGGAAAAGTGTGTAAAAAAAGTGTAAAAGTATGGAATAACATAATTTTTTCTTGTGGAAGGTAAATCCATATATAAATATAAATATATATAAATACATATATATATATATATAAATTATTTATTTGTTGTATATTGTATGTGTACATTGTCAGATATTTAAATATTTTATGATGTTGTAGTCTGTTTTTTTTTGTTTACATCCTTTAATGACAGCAATCAACACACCAGGTAAATGTAAACAGACATTTAGTTCACACTAAAGTTCCAACCAGTATCAAATGAGCAGAACTATATTTTTTTTTCATCAGGAAATGTGAAAAAAAAAATATGAATCATAAGCTGCATGTTTGTAAAAACATCAATTAATCATTACTATGTACATCAATTATGTGTGTTTTAGGGACATATGTGACTGTCTCCATGAGAATAAGTATAACTTCATCTTATAACTTAAAGTTCCTATCCAACACAAGTCCTTCTTATTAAAGAAAATCATTTTTTGGAAAATCTAAATTCAAGACTGTAGTTGTGGGGATACTTACTCTTTTAGATAGACTACAACTGACACAATGAGCTTGAGGCATTCTGTCAGCAGGACCACAGCTACTGTGTTAAAGTTGTACGTATTGTCTTTACTCTTTGAGGCTGTCACTAAGATACCTGCAGAAATGATACAAGATTAAGATATATTGATCTGTAGATATGTGTTATATACCTATAGTCCATTTACAATCTGTATTAGTAGTCTGACCTGGGGTCTATTATATAATTAACCATCATAAATTTTTAATCATTGGTACCTGAGAAATTGAAGTGGACATAGTACAATCGAATTATTTGCTCAACAATTTGTGCATTAATAATTTTACTATTAAGCTGATGAGGTAAAGAAGTTTGCAGTATCTTTCAAAAGAAATATGGTAACAATACCATGAGCGACATGGATTATTAAACTTGCAAAAATTTAAAAAACTTTACCCGACAAGTTTCTATAATGTGTACATATACAGAACTACTGTAGATAGGACCTACATTAATAATTATGATACCTGTGTTGTTGATTAAGATCATGATCCAATACATCATTGTCCGATGATCCATGTAACAATAAAAGATTACTCTACTGAATGCATTGGGTGGACTTAATGACATAAAGTACCAAACCGATAAAACTTATACCCACAGGCCATATTTAATCTAATGTAAACATTTTTTAGAGCAATATTAATGTGAAGCCTCAACATGCACAAATGTATACACAGTTTCAATAATTGTCCAGTACATGTATAACAAGTGACATTGCAACAGCAATCATTTTTTATCTTAATATGTCTTTCAAGCTGAAGATATCAATAACATCATCTTCATCCTAATCAACACATATTCCTCTTTAGTTTGTGTACAAGTAGGTTAACATTGACAATATATAACACTGCTTTACAATAATATTTGTACATGTTCTAGGCTTTCTATCATCCCAATTGTTAAAAGTCATATTAAGAAAGTGTCTTCAGATATTGGTGACTGGAATATTAACCAATGTACTTGATACTGCTCAATTTATAAACTATGCGTACATGGTATATGCCAACTGTCTTACTGATTGTATGTAAAATTCAGGTAACTTTGTTTTTGGAGGCCAAATCTAAATAAATCAATATAAAGGGGAAAAGTTAGCAACCCTAATTATAACACGGATGTATTCAGACATGTAACTTTTGTACCTTTGGTCAGATAATTCAAAAGGAACAAATCTCAACTGAAGGGGGAACGAAAATTTCACATGTCAAATATCATGTTTCATTGTCAACACAATCATCCTCTCTCATCTGGAAATTTTATAAAATTTGGTCTTTGTAATGTAACAGTAAGAAGTAAGTGAAAAATATATGCATCTGCCCTAACTGTGGATCAAACAAGTGATGCCAACATTCAGTCTGGCCTTTTTATGTTTGGTAGGCCTACAGTCTTAGCTGAGGCTAAGGTCAAAACCTTATTCATCAGAAAACAACTACTACCCAGATGTAACCCAACAAATGATTTTCAATTGATAACCCATGATTCTAATAACTGAGAAAAGAAGCATGCTCCTGCTGAGTGACAGAGGCCATATTTGACACTATACCATACATGTCATACCGATTTGACCCACTCCTTTTACACATGTACATTATAAAATTGTATTGGTTGTGATCAACAGCACTAAATCTGTCATTGAAAGGAACAAGTTCTGTAAAGTACACAGCCTGCTCACACAGGCTCAAACTAGTGAACTCTTGTTCTCTGAGTCCAGAAGACCAATTCCAAAATATTGATGAGTCTCAATGCTATGAAATATAGCAAGATCTCAAAATTTGAGCGAGTTCCATAGGAAAAGCATGAGCTTAGGACTCGAAATATCAGAGTACAAAATCACTGTATTAACACACCCTACCACTGAATGGCCTCGAGTTTAGAAAATTCCAATGCTATAAATGTGACTTATGCTATGAACGTTCACAATAATCATTTTTGCTCGTGAAATGAAGGGACCTTGTGGATTTGATTTGCTCGAAGTTTAACTAAGAAAAGTGGTCATAGCATGTAGAAGCAAAATAATAGCATATAGACGAAAAGAAAAAAATCAGAAGTACATAAACCCTTAATCAAATGTCTGGAATATCCTATAAACAAGCAAATGAGTGCCGATATTTCGGACGTCAGTCGTATTCTGGAAACAGTCATGCAAGATCAAGCAAGAAAGATCAGTGCATGTTGAAATTACCTTGATTAATGAATAATGCCATATACGATATGAATATGACAAAGCTGAGCTTTGTTGGAAATAGTTCTTCTGAAAACAACCCCATTTTTGCGGCTTCCTCATTAATGGTGAATGACTCCTCCTCCACGCCACTGCCGCAATCCCACTTCTGTGTGTCAGCAGCCAACTGATAGTCGTTGTCAATAAAACGCTTGTTTGTAAATTCGATGGAAGTTAGAGTAACCTCCCCTGTACCAGTAACGATTCAAATTGACAAAAAGAAACAGGCCAACCACGAATGCAATTACCTGACTTCAAAAAGGGGCGTATGACTGTGAGAAAGAATAAGGAAACTAAAATTTCAAATATCAAATTAATTATATAGTTTTTTCTCTTTTCTCATATCACAGAGGGAATATACAACTGTATTACTAAAAAATGTTTTAATAAATTCATAGTTTTTTTTAAGGTTCTTATATGACTGGAATTCATAAGTTCTTTAAACTTAACTTCATTGCCTTTGGACTGATGTACTGCTATTTTGATTATTGTTTGTCTTCAGCTGGTGACTGGCATTAGCTTTAACTTTCAACTTGATCTATTTATTCTCTTTAAACAAATTTAATATATAGAGAAACGTTTATATTCAACATAAAAAAAGATAGTTCAAACAGGGCTTTCGTAAACTTTTAAAACGATTCCTTAAATTATTTACATTGTTAGAATTAATAGGACCTGTAATATTTATGATATCTGGAAGAGTATGTTAATATCTATTGGTATATAAGTTTCTTTCAGAAGTTGAAAAATGGGCAATGTAGTAAATACATATGGTAATTTATTTGACTGACACGTCTTCCGTCTCCGCGACTCTTTCTGTGTCCGGGTATCGTCTCACCGACAAACGCCAGTGCTCTGGTCACGTGATACCTATGGTGTTTGTAGGTGTACTTGTTCGACTCAATGATTTGTGACCCATTGTGTTAAACACCAGTATTAGCTGTACCTATATCTCCCGGTCTACGATTGACATACATTAATTTGTACGTGTTGTCCTCTGATCTAATAAGGTTTAATCTCATACTCAACGTTAAGTGGGTATCTCATTGCAATGTTACAACAGACAATAAAATTGCAAAAAAGAACATAATATCTAATTAGTGGCGCGAGTTTAGACCTGTATGGCTCCTGTAATAACCTGACATACAGGTAAATATAATGCTTAAATATCAAACGAGAAAAGTAAATGAGTAAAAATAAACACATTTATGAATCTTTATGGACGCGAAAATCGCTGGAATTTATTTTTGAAAGATATATCCATGTACGTGTTTATGTGTTTTCAGTGTGTGTTTCAACTCGTAATTAATAAAGATATCAGACAAGAATGATTTTTTTTTTATTACGAACTCGAATCTATCCTTATACTTTGTCACTTCTTTTTAATTGTCTAAATCAGACAACTTATTTAGAAGTTGAAAGAATAGCTAGACATGACCTAAAAAGGAAGCTCCGTCTTGGCTTCAGTAGGTCACAGTTCATGTAGTAACTAGACGTAAATAAACCTTAAATTAATACTATTGCATCTAAATGATTTCTTTTTCTTGGAAGAAGTGTCAATATTTCGTTTTTATTTTTTATCGGGAGATTCGAACTAAGTTATCTTATTCAACAACGACAAATGTCTTCTCTTTCTAGACTACTGATATCTATTTGCAATACTATTTTAAAATGTAACGTATATGTATACACTGAGAATGCTTTCATTAGTATTCCTAATATTTGGAAAATCACAGTCTTGAAGTTACAATCTTCATACACATTCAATTTCCCAAAAGATTCCTCACAATTTTCCCTACTCTTTTACTTAAACAAATCGAGAATCTCCCTCTGAAACCGAAAGGGTTATCATAGACACATGTTACTTTACTATGTTACTTATCTTGTCATACTTACAACAAAAGGGCGAAAATGAACGAACCCTAGGAAGTGAAATTGTTCAAGACACGCGAACAACATCTTTGTATGGATTTGGAAATATCGATGGGCGTTTAGTTAGAGCCGCGGCACTACCGTTTTTGGCTGTCACGGTGAAGTATTTTGATGCTCAAACTCCCGAAAAACGAAACGTAATTGTGGACTCTGAGAAACTGTAAAGCTCCTTTTGTCTTATTGTAACACACAGCTGTCATATTGAACGCCTCTTTTGAACATAGGGTCAGTTCCCCGGAAATAAAAATCACTGCAATGGAATGAGCAGTATCAGTCCTGTCAAATGCGTATTTTTTTATCAGAATTGGCAGTCTGTAAGTTATCTATACGGGAGTTGGGTTGGAAAATAAATTTGGCATTGACCGTGACCCAATTCGAAGGTAATTGGGTTCAAGCATGCTCGTTTTCAAACGGTTTCTCCATATATCTTCAAAAGACCACGAACTTCGTTATTTATTTTTGCACACATTCGTTAAAAAATATAGATATAATGCCATACTTGTGAAATACATATGATATTAATTGGGAAACCATGATATCCTCTATATATTTTCTGCGCACTCGTGAAAAATATAGATATCCTGTCATACTCATGAAACATTATATATAACACAAGATATTAAACCGAAAATCATTAAATATATTCTATTTATTTCCACGGGGAACTTTCTCTTTATCATGATTTTGATATCTTATTCTTCATCGTGTGTCCTAATATGTGAAATTTTCCTAAACTCCTGGGTGAAGTAGCTGTTTTACGTACATGCACATGATCTGGAAGCAAGTCATATGAAGACGGCGGCCATAGTGACGTCTATAACGTCACATTGTGACGTCATCTATCAACGAGGTGAGCAGAATTTATGATGAAATCCTTCTCCCAATGACGATTCTATGGTCATGTGACCGATTCATATGACACAAATCAATGGGGGATTTCTTAAGTTCACAGAAGAGCTTCTGTCCGCATGTGATCAACATAAGCCGATAAAAACGGATTCATAACTTATGGGGGGATGTTTCCCTTAGTAGTATTTTGCAACTACTGGTCTTTAACAGCTTCCGTAAGATAGCACTGATAACTGTAGATTTTGGCACTTACTTGACTCATTTCTATTCCACCCAATGAAAACGAACTTATCTGAGAATGTAACAGTAACTCATATTCCCTGTCTATTCTAACATCGAATAAATCTATCAACGGATTTAAACATTCTCCGCATGTGAAGATAATTGGAAATTCCATTCAAATTTTGGTTGAAAACTAGACGCCATGCCTCGCGTATGTAATTAAGATGTGTAAATATACGCTAAGTGTCGGATATATCTTCTACCCTGTTCGATATATTTTGTCGTTTCATTACAAATAGGTTGATCCCTTTCTTCGAGGTAAATTGCATGATTTTTTTGTCATGCAAAGATTTTCAGTGAAATCGATTTTGTTTCCGATTTTGAATTGTAACATCCTTGACAGTACTCTTTGTTATCGTGGATGTCAATGGTGTGTTAAAGCTAAATGAAGCCAAATATGGAGAATATGATGACGTTGTAGCAAAGGAGCCATGCTATCAGCTTCGACAGAAAAAAGGGCACTTGTTAGAGCGGAATGTTCGACAGGAATCAGTAATCAGTGTTATTAACATTTGTACGTGCATGGGACTGGTTACCCCGGCAGACGTATGGAATGGGTCCCCCAGCTTCGAACCTGTAAAGTTTTTTTCATAAGTATTAAATTTCCTTATCCTCATCTGATACGACCCTCGTGTGTACTGGTTGCAAGCTCCGAGTATTACATTTATGTATTTTATTTCAAAGTCTTTTCTCCTAATGAACTCTATTGACATCGGAGTTTCTATTCCCCGTACTTGTCCCCCGTGGTTACATTGAACCTACAATTGTATATAAACATGACGGCGCCTGACAGTTCTTCGTCTGTCTGTGACATAACCTTTATTGAAATCGTTAACTTTCTACAAAACGTATACTGAGCAACACGGTAAACATTTCGGCGTGATGATATACTGACAGCCCATTTTTTTACATAATGTAGTACTGTATTTCATTTTTTTCACCTACAGTATGTTTTCACTGACTGTTTCCTCTTCCTCCGCTATCAAACATGACGTGCAAGGTTGGAAACGCTCCTTGTAAACGTATTTGTAGTTTCGTCTCCGGTCTAATGTTATTTTGTATCAGCTTTCCAATTCTTAACATGCTACATGTAATTCAACGGTTTGTCTCACAAATGCTGTCCGCGTATACTGATGTCTAAACGTATTTTTTCAGGAATCTGTTACGCCCTCGTACGGTCGACACATCCGCAGAGCAATGAATGTTTCTATTGATATGTTCTAATTCTTTGTATTGTCGCGAGGTCTCCTCCTTGTGGTAGAATACAAGTTGATATTTTCCCCTTACGATAGGAAAAGTAGGGCGCTGAAGCGTAAGTCGCACTAATATCTAGCGACAAGAAATCCACCTTTTTTCACACTAGCTTGTTGTGCCTTTGATTCTCAGAGTTCTGTAGATATTCCTCCCTGCCATGTCCTGTGTACTATTTTATAAAATGTCGTTATAAAAACACATTACGATTAATACCGAATTCTGCCATTGCATTTCTTCATCTAATTATATGTTGCCTCTAACTCTGGTCTCTTTTTCAGAAGAAATATCGGTTTAAAATTTTAAAAAGTGATAAATTAATTTTCCGGTGACATTTTTTAAAAGAAAATATTGATATGTCAGCATCATTTTAATGTAAACTGAAAATCGTTGAAATAAAGTACTGTTTCAACGTTCCCCCGCCATGTCTAGACTAGTCGATCCAAGTAAGTAGTGTCAGGTTCTCACGTACGAGCAAGGTAACGACGAAGAAACCACCAGGTATACTATATAACGAGCATCGAGCACATTTAACTTCATATTCCGCAAGGATACAGAATATTCCCCTTGAAATCACTGTTACGACTACACAACTTTCCCAGAATTTTCATCAACTACTAGTCCAGATATCAGTATATCTGAGGAGGAATTGGAAGATCTTACCCTCAAAGTCTATGAAGGTATCGTTAACCAGAATTTCCATCATTTTTTACGATTTCATTCTCACTATGTTTTTAATTGATTTCCGACTTATTT